CCGCTATGCCTTAGCCCATCTACAATCATTCACCGAGCTTGAATCTCCAAAAACCACCATTTGTCCTGGTAACCCCACAAATGATTATCTGTTGTTCCGTTGCCATCCAGAACATGAGCATGCCTCTTGCAAGCGGGGGGTTGCTTCTCGTAATAGGGGAGGATGGTCTCTCTGCTCGAACATAACCTCAATCTCCCAAGTTTCGGCATACCCAGCGCTTTCGCTTGCCACAAGTAACCAGCGGAAACCATCACCCGCCTATTCCAGCGCCCTACCCTCCCCTGGAAATCTCTCCGGTGTGGGAGACTGCGAAGAACGACTCCGAGCGGGCGACTTGCCCAAGAAGGGGTGGGGTTATTCGAGGACGTCAAGAAAAACCGCATAGCAAACAAAGGGGCCCTCTCCGCTCTTTCAGGAGGGCCGCAACCTCGTCTCGGGAGCTCTGCCTCATCAGTGAGTGTGACCGAATCACTCCTTCCAAAACATGACTGGTACAGTAAGTTTGACAACCGGCAGAACGCTCCTTTTCTTCATGCATCTTGAGCTTGCCTCAGTCTAGCTGAGCACAGGCAGGTCGTTCTTCCAGTGAGCCGTCGCGCGGACGGAGCATCTCAGCTGGTTTTGCCTGAGGGTTGGTTGGGGCCCGTCGGCCGCCCTGGCGCATTTGCCAGACACCCCAGACCCAAACCTGCCAAAGCGTCGTGTCAGAGGGGCGACCCAGAACTGCAGTCTCTCAAATCAAAAACAAACGAAAGGCCTTTTTGCCGAGTGTTGTTGGCGCGCGTCAACCATCGCTGATGCAAAGGAAACAGGGATCCTTACATGAAAAACACCTGAACATTGCAACTGGTCAATGGTGCTTTCCAACTTTACTTTGGTGTTGAAAAAGCAACATGTTTCAACTGGTGGCAAAATGTATTTCTTTTAACGAATCCCTGGGAAAGTCGGGTGGCGGGACCCACCAGTTCCCTGCCAGTCACGAGCAAACCATTGGGGCCAAAACGGCCGACATCGCACGGATGTCTCTCGCACTCGTCTTTCTTGAGCAGCTTTTTTGTCCACAGGAAGTCAAACCCTAGCATTCTCCAATGGAATTGAGAAACCGGACAAACAAGTACATGTGCTTTGGTTGTCCTATGAACAAGCTCAAGTAGAAACGTGAAGAAAAGTCTCACCACCTCAACTTGGCAGGGATCCTTACATTATACACCTAAACATTGCCTTGTAAATGGTGGTTTCCCTTTATTTTGGTATTGAAAAAGCCATGTTTCAAATCGTGGCAAAATGAATTTATTTTAAGGAGCCCTGCTTGGGACCAATCGTTTCCCCCTTTAAGTAGGCCTGCGGGTGCCAGAGAGAAAAGGGCGCTCGATTCAAACCTGGTCTCCAGCCCGGGAGTCTTTTGTCCATCGGCCCTTCGGGGATACGTGGCTGCTCACAAAACCGGAATCCCAAAATGGGTGGCCCTGGCAAGTGGAAACATGGACCAAAACCTGCGGTTTGCCCCGGCAGTCTCATTTTGAGCCACATCTACATCATAGTCGGTCTACCCTGCCTTTTGCTCTTCCAGAAGACACCAAAATAGGTACACTCCCTCAGAGCAACAGCCACAATCCCCACTTGACATGGCGCGCCAAGTCGTCTTTGTCAAGTCCTCGCTCCCGGGAAGCCTTGGGTGTTCAATCAAGTTGCCTGGAACTTGGAACTCGGGGTCCCGAAACCGCAAGTCGTAGTAAGTGAAACAGCTCTGCAAAAAGATAGAAATTGAACCGACCCTTCTTATAGATGTCTCAAAATGAGCCGAGGGGTTTTCCGGCCACAGGACCAAATCTTGGGATTGCTGCTCAAGATTCCGTGGGTCAGATCATTGTCACGCCTGTCGGAGCCCCGAGCGCATGGGAGACATCTGCAGGTGGTCCTTGAACCCCTAACCCCTCCAAACAGCTAAAACCTTTGATAGTTGCCAAACAAATAATGCAATGTAATGGTGGTGCCGGGGCAACCAAAAGATGTGTCAGTTGTTGCAAAACCCGACACATGGAATCACTCATTTCACCCCCATCGGTGAGCTAACAGTTGCTCGGTGCAAATAAATGTTGGGCGTGTAAGAATAGGAGGTACCTCCCATTGGATGGCGTTTCCCAAGGGGAGAATCTGCTTTTGGGGGTCCCCTGTCTCAAATTGTTACAAAACCGAACCGGAAGTCCAGAGTCGCAGTCTTTTTCACTTTTCTAAACCGGGGGATTTAACAGACCTCCAACGTCTTCGGTGTCAAGTGGCTTAAGTCTGCCACCACGCGCCATCGCGCGGGCTCCCATGCGTCGGTGCGTCTGCGGCCTCGGGCACGGGGTGCCGCTCTCAGGGCCGAACGCGCACGCTCATAAATCCGACGGCCGTCCTACGACTCGCCGCCGTGGCAGATCGCCGAAAGGGGGCGGCGAGAATGAGATCGCCGAAACGTCTCTCAGCCGGTGAGGTGAAACTCAAAGATTTTGTCAGGGCCGCAGGCGATGGCCCATCAAACGCTTCCCATTGCACCGTGCTGTTGTGAATGTTGAGCGAGCCCATATCACACGGCGGCCCTTGACCGGCATGCATCAAATAGATGGTTCGTTGCTGCCTCCCGACGGAAGCAACAACCGGTGTGCATAAACGCGCGCACCCTGTGACTCAGGGCCATTGTCAGCATCGACAACTGCAGATTGCCCATGGTCAAGTCTCCATGTGGGTGTTCAAACCGCAGCCTCTTCAAGTAGTTTGACCATGGCAAATGTGCACCTGACACAATATAAAAATGAGAGTGCAGCTGAACAATGGCACTTGGGTGTTTCCCAAAGTGCACTCCCAACTTCTAGGTTTGACGAAATTCGGAAAGGAGCCTCCGCAATTCGGATGAGTTCATTGCTAACCCATCCGAAGTTAAAAAGCCCCTTCTAAAAACAAAGTGGGCTCGCAAACCAAATCTCTTGCACATTTTCACGGAAACACCCCGATCAGCGATGGCCGAAAAGTGCTGCCGCTACCACCGCCATGGCCGCGACAGACCTATCTCGGCCATTGCAATCGCATCACGACTGCCCCGCTCGGAGCGAGGCAAACGCTGCGACTCATCGCTTTCTGCACAGACCCTGGCGTCTCTTCGCTCTGCGGTCTTCGTACTTGATGCGCAACCTGTCCTAAAGCCGAGCGCCCAAGCCAAACGAAAAGAAAACCAAGCCAAGCAGTCATGTTCGGACAAGCAGAAGTGCTGCCAGTAGTTTCTACACTTAGGTGGGCTCAAGAGTGGTTTGACAACATGCCAGGAGTTGAACTCGATGTCACAGCAGAGTAATCTTCTATTTCAACTTTAGACCCAGATGCTGATTTCATGATTAGAGTTAAGCCCAGCTATAGAATGTATATTTTATTGCTTGCTTCACAGAGTCACTGGTAAAATGTAAAATGTATCCTAAGTCTACCCCAGATTTGGCTGAAAGAATTTGAAAGAAGCTGTGACTTGATTTCGCTACCATCGCGTTCTATCGTGACTGGCCCTTCCAAGCAGGTCCAGATGTGTCCCACTTCTGTGTTCCAAGAGAAGACTTGGCTGGACTTAGGCCCCCGGCAAAAAAAATAAAAATGCTCGGTTAGTGGAAAACAAAGGGAACCCAAAAAAAGCAATAACAATCAATAAGGGGAGCTAACTCGGGATGATGCGTTCACCAGAAGAAAAAAAAGAAAAAACAAAAAACAAAAAAAAGAAGAAAAAAACAACATCCACCCTAGAGGCAGCAAGTTGATTTTGTTGCTGTGCCAAACTCTTGTGTGAACCAAAGAAGGCTTCAAGAGGACAGCCCTAGTCCATCTTGCGCGCGGCAAACCTTTTGGCCCCAAGAGGGCAAAACACGGCACCTTTTGAAGCTTTCTTAAACCTCCTCTCTTGGTACAGAAGCCCGTCTGGAACCTCTCTAAAGAACTCTCTTTTGCTGACACCAAAAAAAAACGTCAGTGAACGCTTGGACAAACTGTTGGACTCCGAACATGTAGAAAAAACCGAAACCAGACCCCACAACTCGTGTAACCGAAGCCGGGGATTCGGGCCCCCGAGATCTCGTTCCTTCTCCGAGAGGCGGCTCTTGCCTCGTCCTTTGTGCACAGGTGGCAGAACTTGCAGGCATCTCCCAGATGACATCCACTCTTCTTCAGCTGGAAGAATCCTCAGGAAGAAAAAAACAAAAACGGCGGCTTGCAAACATCGCTTCCGAGCACCCGCGGAAAACTGCGAACACACGCGAAAAAACCCTGGAATCGCCTATCTGGATAGGTTGGAGTCCATTCGGGGCCCAAGAGGAGCTCATGGGCCAAGTTCAGCTCACATCCCCAAGGCTCCATACCCAGCGAAATGGCCATCGGAGTATCGGAGCTTTGGGCGTTGGGAGTCAACCAGCATTTGCAGCGAGCGAAAGAGCGGAAAAACTCGGAAAATGAGGAACCGGCAAAGGGCTGTCCGCTTTCAGATCCGCTAAAGGTGAATAACTTTTAGTGGGTTAAATGGAAATCCAACCACTAAACACTAAGATAAGGCTGGGAACCACCAAGATCCTCAGGTCAAGAACCTTCATCTGGCGCACGGTTGCGGAATCCAAACATCGCACGAAATGAGTTTCCGTGGGTCCTGCACCCAGTTCAGAAACCATGGGAATGAAACCACAACGTCTCTGGGTCTTTACGTTGCGGCATCGAATCAGAAACCATTGAGGTTCAGAACGGCGCGACCCTTGGCTCTCCAAATGGGAAAACCTACCCATGATCATTTGAATTTGGCCGAAGGGAGTATTGATCAACCCCCATATGGCCCATATGCTTTTCTTGGCCATTGATTCTTGCCATGAAAGAAGTCTTCTACCCATGTCACAGCTCCAAATAAGACGACCCTGCTGCGAATTGGTGTGTGCTTTATTGAGGCTACCCTTTTTGGGTTTGCTTCGAAGGGAAACCAAAGGAAATTCGAGGCACTTTCCAGGTTTGGGCCAAACCCAAATATGGAACCTGACTGGAAGTCTCCGGTTGCTGCTTCCCTGCCCCCTCTCAAAAACCACCGAGCCAAAACGGGACGGCGCCCTGTGCCCCATGGTCGACACGCCCCACATGGCGTTCAATGTCTCCCCAAGCATCACCCCAAAGATGAACTAGAATTGGTCCGAAACGTGAAATCTTTGGACTGGCTTCGGGAGAAGTGACAATTCTGGGCGTGTCGTTTTTAGGGGACCCTCAAAAAATGGCTTTCAGCTTTTTGTTGGCTTTCCTTCAAACAGAATACAAAACAAGAGTCGGCAATTACCCACCCACCCACCTTCCCCCACCCCCCCAAAAAAAACTATTCATACGCCGTTGCTTTCTTTTGTGGACCTGCAAAAAAGAAACCCCAAGAACAGACATGTGTTTTGCTTTCTCTCGTGGACCTGCTGGTCCCAAAAAAAAGAAGAAGAAGAAGCCGCCGAAGCCGCTTGCCAAGGCGCTGCAGGCCCTGCAGGTTCCTGCCAGGTGCGCCTCCACGCTGTTGTACACGGGCTCTTCTTCCGACTCCGTGAGCCCCGGGACCTCACGAGCCGAGTCGCCTCGAACGACTCACTCGAGCCGCCTCGAGTCGAGTCCCCTCGCGCGGGCCGAGGCGCGGCGCGACGCTTAGGTGTCCGTTTCGGGGAAAAATAGATTGGTTGCCCTGGTAGATGAGTAAACCAACAGGTAAAAATAGATGGGTTGTCGTGGTAGATGAGTCAACCACCAGGTAAAAATAGATGGGTTGTCGTGGTAGATGAGTCAACCACCAGGTAAACCAGGAATCGCCCTCTATTTTTCGAGCCAAAGAGCCAAAAAGGACAATGGCGCCGAGTTTGCAGGAAGATCTTGCGGGCAGAGGGAAAACAGCAAAACGGCGCCGGCGCCCGTTTGGGTTGACACGAACCGTTTTTCGCGGGCGCTGGCAGCATGGGGAGAGCCGAGGCGGAGTGATTGAGCCATGAAGATCCCGTACAGATTCGGCCATGGGTCAAAATCCAAATCGTACTTCCAGTGAACGTCCCAATCCCAACTAAAATAAAGCCTAAAATGGGTGGTGAATTCACCTACCAACCAAAAATGGGATCCCATTGATTTTGATTTACCACAGCCATTCCTTCTTTCCGGCCAAAAAATCCTCAGGCCCCATGCCTCCGACCCGGCTAGACATGATCCAGCTACCCGCAGCCCGGTTCGATAGGCAAGGAATCAAAAAAAAAAACGGACATGTCCGTTGGATCCAACCATGCGTTCAACCCTCAAAAAATGAAGAGACCACCCAATGAAGGCCATAACCCAATGAAGACCAGACCGCAGCCCGGTTTTCCCACAGCTGCCTTTGGTCTGTTGCTCATCCCTTCAGGCCTCCCAGGATGGACCACCCCAGTGCTCCCCTGGGATTTTTTTCTTCGGACCCAACAAAAAGCCGGTTGCAATCAACCGGGAACAAGACAAGAACGGCACAAGGGCTCCCCTAAGTGGTGACATGTCTCGGGAGACAACAGGCTCTACCCGAGAGATCTCTGGTCCCCGATGTTTTCAGCCCCGTTCAGTCTCCTTTGGCACCTCATCAGGTTCTGGGTGGGCATGGCCTGCGGATTACTGAGGTTGAGCCTTCAAGTCTCCCCTCTCCAGCCTAAGGCTTGGGGGGGGGGGGGAGAAAAAGAAGAAGAAAAAAAACATCCTAAGGATTTGAATCATCTCTTCCGGCCTCCTTTGTCTGCCTCATCTCTTGCCTCGTCTTTCACCATTTCTGTGCCTCCTTTCCAAGGATTCGTGGAAGACGAAGCCTCCAACCCCCCAACCCCCCGACCCCCACCCCCCCCGAGACCGAGACGTCGAACTCCGATCGACCCGAACTCCGCCGGCCCCCGGACGACTTCGGCCAGCGGGCGTGATTGAGATCCCAGTCCGAGCCGCTGCTCGACGCCTCGGAGCCGCTGCCCGACGCTTCGTGGCAGGTCCAGGTTGGTCTTAGAAGAAGTCGGTCTCCCGACTTTTTTTCTCGGTATTGGGCTATTTTAGTAGGGGAGCCCCCAAAAAGGGGTAAAAGATTTGGCACTGCTGGGGGACCTAGTCTTGGATACCTCGACTTCCTCACCGCGTCACAAGTGGCGATGGACAAAAAGAAATGTTTTGATAATTGATGGAGAAAAGCCATCGAATTCCTGTGTGGTGGTTGTTGCCCTTTCTTCTTCTTTTTCACTTTTGTTTTTTTGGGGGGGACAAATTTTGCTTTCTCCGGACTCTCCGGACTCTCGGAGCACTGCCTTGATGGATGGTTTCAGTGAAAACACCTCGCCTTGGACCCAAAAGTCGTTCCCCAACACACCCTGCCAACCAAAGAACCCCGGCTGCCCCCCGTAAAAAAGGGACGGTGCCAAACCCGAACTGCCAATGTGCAAATGCGAAGTTCACATTTGGGAGCATAGGTGTCCTTCTTGGAAAATAGCCAGGGCCCTGGTAGATGATTGAACCATGTAAACCAGGAATCGAAACCCCTCTTCAACCAAACCAACCAAAAAAGGACACCTATGTTTGTGACAGCCAATATCTTGTAGACAGCGGCGCCAAGCTTGGAAGCTTCCGTCCACAAGGACCCCAACCGACCCGAGGACCGATTTTCAACCTGGCTGAGGGCAGGGGAGACTCGAAAACTCTATCGAACTGTGGTTCCATAAACATCACCCCAACGCCACAAGATAATGTTGCTTCAAGCCGCCAAACAGAAAGCACGGGGAACCTTGCTAAAGGGTAACCAAGACAAATGAGCAAATGTGTAAACGTGTGTGTGTGTGTGTGTCAACGCGGGAAAACTTAGGCAAGGCACGGCCACATCATTGATAGGACCAGCGGTGCTACCATCGGTGATGCCAGAACGTGAACTCGCGGACTGTGCCTTGCGAGAATTGCTGTGAAGAGAGCGAGAGAGCGACAGAGAGAGAGGCAGAGAGGGAGAGAGAAGAAAAATGGGAAACAGGAGCAGGAGAATCCAGAGCAAAAGAAAGAGAGAGAGAGAGAGACAAAGAGAAAGAGAAAAAGAAAGAGAAAGAGAAAAGAGAAAGAGAAAGAGAAAGAGGAAGAAGAAGAGGAAGAGGAAGAGGAACAGGAAGAGAAAAAAAAGGAAAGGAAGAGGAAGAGGGAAAGAGAAAGAGAACCTGTGTCCTTCGAACGGGCTTGCTTCACAAACTGAATGGGCTGAACCCCTCAAATGGTTGATGTACTTTTTGCTCCCGTTCAAATCGCAGAAGCCCCAAATCGGAAGCACCTGAAGCCTTGCAAAGGACGAGCCGGTGCCAATACAGGAATGGCAAGAACACCACTTCACACCACAGCCCTTCAATTTGCTTTGTCGCCCCCTGGAACAAATCAGAGAAGACATGTCCAGTAGTGAAATCGATTCCCTTTAAGGCCAACAGAAGAAAATTAGCAAACATTCTGAAACGCAAATGTCTAGGGGTTGATTCCCCATTCTTTTCAACCATCGTTCTTGTCAAAAGCCAGCTGTTTCCCCAGGGTTTTGGGCGGTTGTTTAGAAAGAAGGATGCCTGGCAAGAATGGAAATGGAAGGTTCCCCCTAGAAAATGGCACAGAAAACATGTCCAGTGGTCGATTCCCTTTGAAACCACCAGAAGAAGAAAAACCAAAAACTATTGAAACGCCAACGGCACAGTCCATAGAAAATGATGCAACGCCGATGTCTGTGGTTGATTTTCCCCGAGGCATCGCCAAGACGCAAGAGGCAAGAGGGGAGGAGCCAATCAAAACCCAACACAACCCCTGCCCCTGTCCACGCTGCCATGGAACCTGAAGGGCCCCTTTTTTGTCGGAACATGGTCCAATCGAGGCGAAGGCCCGAAAGCCCAGTCGAATGAAGATCAAGCAGCTTGACAAAGTGAACCAACCGTTGACCCAGATAATTATTCGAGGAGAGAACAGAAAGAAAGCTCTGTGTCTAGTTGCTCTACAAAAATAGATGCCCCAAAATGGAAGCCCAGTAAATGGAATTCATGCATGAACATTGGCGGCTTTTGGGCTTCCCTGGTAAATGGAATAAAGCCAATCTAAACCAGTGAAAACCATCTATTTCTATGCAAACTAACCGATGAAAAGGACACCTATGTGCATGAAAACCTGCGGTCTCGTACCCATTGGGATTCCAAATGATTTGGAGAGCCTTCGGACCGATGCTTTGCTTTAGGACAGACCCTGAGTCAGTGCAGAAACTTGGCAGGCGGATGTCCCAAGCGATGTACGGCATAAAACTGTCCAAGACAAGGCTCCCAATATGTTTCTTCAAGAGGACACTCACTTCGATTTGGCCCAAAAGGTGATTTCGAAAATCGCCAAGTGGGTAATATGACGGGAACCGTGTACTATCCTTCATCTGCCCGAGTTTTTCCTCTGCCTCGGCCCGATAGCCCAAGCCCCAGGCGGGCCTTGTTTGGCATGGGCATCTGAGGGGTTGCACGGAAGGACCGTCCCCCTGCACGGTAGATCTGTGTGTCCAGATCCGTCGGGTGTTCCTTCGGCACCGAAGGATCGCTAGAAGCGGGCGTTGCGTCTCTTTTTCGATTTTTCCACTGAGCCAATGTTGAAACAAATCCAAAGAGGAGTTCCTTCTTCTCTTTTTGTGCGCCCGTGTACATTGGCAAAGACTGCAACAACGATACATTCAGTAAAGCAGGTTGCAACTGGTGAACTTGACCCGCAAAGCTTCTGACTTGTCTTGAACCACCCCTTGAGAGAGCAAGAGCCTTTCGCAACTTCGTGAAATCTTTTCTCATGGTGGGTCAAGAATAGATACCCAAAATGGAACCCTAGTAGTTAAATGGAAACATGCATGAAAACCAGCGGTCTGGTACCCATTCGGATTCCGAATGATTTGGAGAGCCTTCGGACCGATGCTTTGCTTTAGGACAGACCCTGAGTCAGTGCAAAAACCTGGCACAGGGCGGATGTCCCAAGCGATGTACGGCATAAAACTGTCCAAGACGGGGCTCCCAAGATGTTTCTTCATCCCAAGAGGACACTCACTTCGATTTGGCCCAGAAGGTGATGTCGAAAATCGCCAAGTGGGTAATATGACGGGAACCGAGTTTTTCCTCTGCCTCGGCCCGATAGCCCAAGCCCCAGGCGGGCCTTGTTTGGCATGGGCATCTGAGGGGTTGCACGGAAGGACCGTCCCCCTGCACGGTAGATCTGTGTGTCCAGATCCGTCGGGTGTTCCTTCGGCACCGAAGGATCGCTAGAAGCGGGCGTTGCGTCTCTTTGCGAATTTTCCACTGAGCCGATGTTGAAACAAATCCAAAGATGGGTGTGGCTCAAGGATAGGGGTCCAAGATGGCTTGTCCTGGTAACTGGAAAGGTAGACTAAAACCTGGGTAACCCCAGCTGCTAGCGAGGCGAACCGTTAGATTAAAATTGTTTAGCCCTTAAATTCATAGGAAAAGAAGTTTAGGGTTTAGGGTTTAGGGTTTAGAGTTTAGGGTCAATCCGAATCCTAGGGTCAGGGATAACCCAGGCCACGCTTTTACAACAGCTGTTAGCTTTTTCCACGGCTGTTGGCTGAAAAACACCTCCCACCCTAGATCCCATGTCGTTCGAAAGCCACATCATCTTAAATCATTCGACAAAACCAGGGCTGGCAGCCAAGCGCACCTTCCTCAGCCCGTTCTTTCCACAACTCGTCACACACTCCAAGGCCAGTTTGTCACCTTCGCTTTCAGAAGCAACATTTTTGGAGCCGGTCTTGGAAGTGGCCGTGCTTTACAAGAGACTCCCTCGTGACTCCCTGGCACCATGAAAAAGACCTCACAAAGTTGAGAAAGGCTCTTGCTCTCTCAAGGGGTGGTTCAAGACAAGTCAGAAGTTTCAGGGGTCAATTTCACCAATTTCAACATGCGTTACTGACTGTATCGTTGTCGCTGTCTTCGTTGCCAATGTGCACGGCTCATGAAAAAGAAGAAGGAACTCATCTGGCTGTGGGTCAAAATTAAACCGGATCTTCCCCAATATCGGCCATGGGTTTTCCTCGAAATACCCCGCAAAAATCCAAAATGAGTTGTTGTCCCTTTGGTTTCCCGGTAAATCACCCCCCCAAAGGGTACCTTCAAAAATGACCTCCCTTGCTTTCTCTGTAAAGAAAGATTACCTGAACAAAAGACACGCGCGCACACACACACAGACAAAAACACACAGACACACACACTCGTACAAGACTCTTCCGGAAAGCCTACGTGCATACGCAGAATGTGTGATGGCATCCGGTTGTGCCGTGAGCGCCACAGGGCCCCAACCATCGTCAAAAAACGGCCTCCCCAAAAAAAAAACGAGAGAGGAAGAAAAAGTGAAGAAGAAAAAAAAAAAAAAAAAGCCACGCCCGCGGCCGAGGGTCCGAGCTCGAGCTGCACGCATCGTGCGGAATCGTCAAGCTGTTCACGTACTGGCGAGCCCATGGACCGGCCAGGCGGGACTCTACCCCCACCGTCACCATCATGTCCTCGGACCGAGAGCAGAATTCCCACCGGCCGTCGATGCCTGTTTTTTGTTTTGTTTTTTGCGGAGAAAAAGGAAACCCACCAGCCGTCGAAAAGGGCACGTGGGTGAGAACGGGTGAAAAAAAAACTTCTTTTTCTCTGGTGGAGAGCCTTCGAAAAGCGCACGGTGAACATCCGACGGTTCTTCGGGGCATTGGAATGACCCCTTACGTTGGTGAAACGGGGTGAAAACAAAAACGCCTTGGAGCTTCAAGAACCCTGCAAACCTCCTGGGACGATGTTTCTTTTTGTTCTCCGGGGCGTTGGACGGACCCCGAGGTTTGGTTACCCTCCAACTGCTGGTTTCCTTGACCAAAGCCCCTAAGCCTCTGAACGCCAGCAAGACAGCCCCACGGTTTTCGAAACCGTGAGACCACCTCCCGATGTTCCAGCGTGCAAACGTGGCCGAAAAAAAGGGTACCCCTGCTTGTCAAGCTAGGCTCCTTTGGCCTTGGTTCAGTAAAAACCCCTCTCCCCCCCCCCCCCTGTGGGCCAGGTCAAGCTTCACTCCAGCTACAGCAAGAGGCGGACACAAAAACAACAGCGCTTCAGGGAGGGACCAAAGGGTGCCCAGCCACCCCCTGCCAGAGTGCAGAGTTGAAGAAGCAAGGTCTGAGACTCACACAGAGTCATGTTCACCTCACCAGCAGGCCCCTTTCCAGTGGGGATTCACACATTTGGCGGGAAACCCCCCTGACGGGTTGACTCCGGGCTCAACATTACAAGAGTCGTAAAGGTTTCAATGAGAGTAAATCTCCCGGTCACGCATGTCGTTTTCCCAGAGGGAGAATGACTGAACTGTTCAAATGTGCGACCAATGACCCGGTAGCTTTTCTCCGGAAGCTCAAAGATGACTCCAAAGAGCTCCCCCCCCCCCACGCACACAGGCACACACGCGCACGCACGCACGCACGCACGCAGGCATGCACGCACGCACGCACGCGCACACGCGCACACGCGCACACGCGCACGCACGCACGCACCCACGCACCCACGCACCCACACACATACACAGAAACAAACAAACAAACAAACAAACAAACAAACAAACCAAGAAAATCAAAACAGGTGAATGCGCCCAGACACACAGACACACAAACACAAAGACTCATAGACACACAGACACAGACAGAGAGAGAGAGAGAGCGAGAGAGAGAGAGAGAGAGAGTGAGAGAGAGAGAGAGAGCGAGAGAGAGAGAGAGAGAGAGTGAGAGAGAGAGAGAGAGAGAGCGAGAGAGAGAGAGAGAGAGAGAGAGAGAGAGAGAGACACACCCACGCACGCACACACGCACTGCAAAGCCCCTGCTCATCCGTGCTCCAGACTGAAGTTCCTGCAAAGCTTCTGACGCTGTGTACAACACGTGCATTGGCGCCGCCATCTTTGAAAACTTTTGCGCATTCGCTGAGCCAAGCTGGCTAACCGGGTCAAACATGAGCCTCGTCTAAAAACAGGCTCTTCAGCGTTGATCGCGGCTTACGTCCAGCACGTGTCTCTTCAATCTGGGTCTCAAAGCCCAACTCTACTGAGGATCCCAACAGGAGTGCAGGAGTCCATCAATGTACATCTCACCTCCAAAGTGGTGTCGTTGGATTTGGGACTTCAGCTGTCTGCCATTTCCCCAGTGTGTGTGTGTGTGTGCGTTTCCAAGATTCTCTATCATCAACCACTAAGCTCCCGGTTTTAGACAAGCTGCCAAAAAAGCCCCAAGCTCTAAAACCAACAAACGTCCACAGCCGCAGATCAAAAAAACGATTGGGTCGAAGGAAACCCATCCCTCACTCTCTCCGTTCCTGGCCCCAATCCGGTAACGACAATATGATGGAGGTAGAGAAGAGAGCCTTCCTTCACCACCTTCCTCCCACCTTATGATTGCGAAGGAAACCAGGTAACCAGGAAAGATGATGAGTATTGTCCTGATAGCATTTTGCTTGAGTTGACTAATGTTAATATCAGGGTTATCGTGACCTTTCTATTTGACTCATGTATATGATTTCTTCTTGATGTGGTGTGTTCTGTCTCTATCACATGGACACACTCAACATCAGAATGTAACCAAAATGAAGGGATGGTGAAAGGGTCCTCGTCATATCCCTGCATGCTTAACTATCATGTTTTGCATGATATTTCTGTTTTATGCTGTACAGAAATGGGCAATCCAAAATCTCAGACACCACTTTTAAAAATGATGATGATACAAAATAGAGATGCTTTAGTTGTAAGTCATCCTTCCTTGACTGGTAACTATGCACTTCTGGTAGTCTCTTCCCGCTTCCTACATCATGTCCGAATGAACATATGATGTGGACAGAAACCCAAAGAATATTGTCGTTACAGTTCGCTCTCCTAACACACATCCACATCCCTCCATTCCTATGTGACCCGGAAGCCGGATGGACAAGGTGACCGGGCTGTCGGAGATATCTATGAGGGAAGCATTCTCCCAAGGCAACTTACGACATCTCCCTCGCTTTCTGGGAGTAATTGTTAGCCTTTAGACTCAGAAGCCTTCCTCAATCTATCCATTCCCCATTGTTGATGATAGGCTTGGAAGTGGATAGGAAAGGATGAATGAAGAATCCAGACACCAAAGACATTCTGGATTTGTCTCTCTTCCCGCTCCCATGCCTACCATGAAGAACGGGTACTGATGGATGTGTACCTTTAGCTGGCTCTAGCTCCTGGCGTCGGAAACAAATTCCAAGAGATGCAGAAATAATATGAAAGCAAAAGAATCTTGAAAGAAAGAAGCAATGGATGAACCGCTCGTTCACTCTCGCCGTCCCCTACCTGAGGATAGGGGAAGGTAATTCCCGACCCAACTGTTCCTCCAGAAGTTACTTGTGTCTGGTCTCTCTCTCTCTTTCCTAGCCACATTTCTAGTTTGAAGATGAAACATGGATGACAAGGAAAGAGATGGGAGATGGTTATCCTGATATTATTTTTTGTCATATTGTCTTTCCAGCCGGTGAACCTTTCAGACAAATAAGCTGAGGATTCTCCCGGTAGACAAAAGAATCATATGATGGGTAATAGAAACCTAAGGACTGATAACGCAGCGAATCGGTCTTTTCACTGTGGTGCCTAGCAGTTGAACATTCGCCACGAATTCTCTCGGGCCGGTTTACCCTTGTTCTTGCAAAAGCCTGTTGCTTGCCACCAAAGTGGTCTTTCCAAGTAGAACAGATTTGCGGTATAATTCCACCTGGAACCCCACAACAATTTGCAAGCGGCTTCCCAAACTGCCAATATAGAAGTATAGAGTCCAGGTCAAGGACCAAGTGTTTGAACTCTGATCTCCCACAGACCCAACCACTGGGATTCAGCCTACCTCCCTCGCACCCAATGTTTTACACGCACCGGCCAAAAAAGCGTCCACTGAAAATTATTCAGGAGACTCGGTACCTGAGGTTTGGGGTATACTTGGCATTGGCCCGTAGCTCCTGTGGCTGGTTCTTTAGACAGGCAGGATTGCGCACGCAAATGTCCTGAGGCACTTGCTTTTCATTCACCTGTTCACCTAAACCGGCCTCTTCTGACTAGTGAGGTGCATGACTCTAAAATCGAAAACACACCTAGAATAGTTGCATTTACATATTTGCATCTTGATTTACATAATACTAAAGGGGTCAGCCCCTGATTCCTCTTTCGGGCCCATTCTCTGAAGCACAACCCTTGCAAGCGCGAGCTTGCAATGGGGCGGAACCCGAGAACCGAAAGGGAGCGCTCGCTCCCAAGCGCTCGCCACTTCAGGTCATTTGACGACACCTCTTGGTCTCAAAACGGGACGGGTCCCGAGTGCCAAAGGCTAGGCCCCAAAGACTCGCAACTTGGCCCAATGGACTTTTTTTTGCGGAACAGATCCCGCACTTCTCTTTAAGATGAGTCCGTGAGTCATTCCGTCCCATGAAGCGTTTTGAGGCTCATCAGATTTGTTCCGCTGTTCTGTGCTGCCCTGAGATCCCCTGCTAAAAGTTTAACTTGTAGTGGGTTAAAAAATGGACCCACCAAACACTAAAAGGCTAAAAAGCTAAAGAACCGGATGGCTGGTTGCGCCACCAAGTTTCTATCAACAAAGAATCTACGATGAAACTGCTGGGGAACATGACTTCCTTTGACGCCCGTGAAAAGGGTTCATCAGATTTCTTCCGCTTTTCCTCGGGGCTTCCATTTGAATCTAAGCTGATTGAAGCTCAACTTCCCAAGCTCCACCCCGAAATTTAGCGCCGAGCTCACGAGTGAGACGTGAAAGAAAGCACCGCCCGTTTTCGCGGCGGTTCCCGCAACCCGAAAACAAAAAACGCGACAAGGACCCAACGATGCTGCTTCTCTGACTTGGATTTTTTAGCGAGGAATACCATCCCAAATGGCTGATGGACATAATCCCCATCTAAATGATGTCAACCAGGCTCCCCAACTCAAATTCACACCCACTTCCGTGAACCACGGCTATGCTCGTGCGGCCTCTGAGCGAGCGCTCGCTCACGCTCGGAACGGAGGCTGCGCGTACAGTTCTAGGCATGCTCAGTCGAATTCTTGTATTCTGCTTACACGGGTTGCCTGCAGCACTGCCTTGATCTGACAGGGACCAAACTTGGACCCGTTAGGGCAAATCTTTGCGCCCAGCTGTCAGCTTCCCTGCAACCAATTTTGCGTACCTGGTAGTTTGGAGGTGTTGCGGTGGTTTCCCATTTACCCTCTACGAGAGCCAGGGGTTCAAACCCCCAAACCACCAATCCATTCCGAAGAAAATTCCCTGTAGCGGCTAGAGCCTGCGTCCCGCCTGTGAAGTTGCTTGTGGCCCGTGCATATGTTTCCACCTGCTGACATTCACTTGACGCCTTACTTGGGCTTTGCTCGGGAACGCCCAAACTTCGCACGCTGGGTCCACGTCTGGCCGCCTCGAAGAGCACAAATCCCCGATGTGGGTCAGCCAGACATGGCTGCCGCGTTCGCTCGAGCGAAGGCGGATCAACAAAAGCAGAGGCTTTGAGCGGAAGACCATGCATCATTCAGGCACGAAACTTAGGGAACCCCCCGTGTCGGGTCGGCTTTTCCCCTATTAAAAAAAGGGGAATCTTGCCCAAAACCGAGAATTGTTTTTCAAAATTGCAAATTATTGGCCTTGCCGACGCAAAATGGCCATTAAAACAAATCGACAAAAAAAAAAGGTGTTTCTGAATAGCTGTGCAAGCTGGCTTCCAAGTGTCAACATGTCCAGGTGACCAAACAATTAAAAAAACAATGACAGTTTCCAACTTGGGCCGCTGCTGTCTTTTCGGATCCCCACTAGGGCTTTTCTTTCAGCACCCAGTAGTTGACAGCACCACCATGGCAGCTCACTCAAAATCATCTGACTAGTTTTGCAGAGTTCCTTCTGGGAACTTCTCTGCGAGAGAAGGAGCACACTTGAGGTGAGTTCCGCTTGTCGGGGTCATATGGCTGTGGGTCAAAATCCAAATCGTACCCGCAGTGAACATCCCAATCCCCACTTTAAAAAAAAATAATGGGTGGTGCACCTACCAACCAAAATGGGATCCCATTGGTTTTGACCCACAGCTATTTTTTGGGGAAATATCGGGAGCTGTGTTGGAACCTTCTCGATTCCAATTTCTATCAACTCTTTCATGGGAAGGGCAACCAAGTCATCCCAAGCTCAAGCCATCTGCCGCGTTCGAGCAGCCGTGCCCCCGCCGAGTCGCCCAAGTTCGATCCCAGAAAACCTCAACTTGCCAGAGAAATACGGCAGGCTCAGGTTTGCCACAAAAATGGGACCTTGCAATCAAGCTTGTGAATCCTGGGTCATAAGAAACTCCAGTCCCTCATGTTCAACTATGTAAGAAACCCCCTTATCCCGAACCAGATTCCGAGCACAAATCGTTGCCGACCAGTGACTACGCGGGGGCCTTTGTGCCCCAACGCAAATTTAATACGCGCAGACGGCCTTCACAGCCGGCCCAAAAACCAAAAGCCGAGGGCTCGGAACGGTCCAAGTCTTCTCCAGAGGAAGCCCGTATCCACACCCTTCAAATGGCGACACTGGAAGACGCCTCTTTCACGCTGCACGCACTGGCGGTGTCTGATTTGGCACTTGACGGGCATATAAGGGCCGACACAATTCGGGGTACGTCACATGCTCGAAATGATTTAGCCCTTCAGAAAGAACATCAAAAGCCGCATCCCTTGTCAAACCACCATACTACGTGTCTTTAAGCATCACCCCACAGCAAACTAACTTATGGCTTGAAAAGAACACGCTTAAAACTACCTAATGAGAGAGTCGGAGGAAAAAAAAAAAAAGGAAAGGAAAAAGACACCTCTGCCAAGGTCCTAAATCAATCCAACTAGATCTGCGATGTTTTTGGTGCTGTGTTTCTCGGGAGGTGAAGCCACGGGTTCAACCTTTGCCACTTGACTGATAGGCGGGGAGGCCAAACATTTTCGGCCCCGCGGTTTGGATTTTCAACTCCCATCGGGTCAGACATGAAGCCTTCAGGCGTTGCGGGGTTGCTCCCCGTCTTTGGGTCTAATCAACTCAACGCGGTCTAATCAATGCGGGTATGGGTCAAACTTGGGACACCCCAAAATGCTGAGAATGTCCCGTTGACTTCCGTTTTCTTGCTTCTCCCCTTTTGTTAAACAGCGATCCTTACATTATACACCTGAACATTGCCTTGTAAATGGTGGTGTTCCTTTATTTTGGTGGAAAAATCCATGATTCAAATGGGCAAAATGTATCTTTTAAAGAGCCCTGTTAAAGATCCACCTGAAAGGGTACCCAGAAACACAAACCCGCAAAATCATTCTCCGCCAGGCCGTCAGGGGAGGCTGAAGCGACTTGCCGTCGCTCTGAGCCTGGCCTGCCTGTGGCAAAGCTAGCGCTTCCGCAAACCATGGCGTCTCTTCGAACGGCGGTCTTCGTACTTGTAGTGCAAACGCACTGCCTTCGCCTGGCGAGAAGTGCAGCAGCGCGTATCTTCTTAAAAATTACTGCTAGGGGACCCCACAAATTGCGGCGTACATCCATTCTGCCTTATCATGGATGCTTCGGCCAGCAAAAACAATGGGAAAAACTAGTGTTTTGGGGCAATCATGCGTTCACCACGTGCTTGCGCAGTACTTGCCCGGTAATTGTTTAGAAAAAAACTACCGGACAAGCTGCTTTTGACCTTCTGCCATACTTTCAGTGAATCGCACGGAAGCTTGAAACACATGGCCTGCGTGGAGGTTTGAACACATTCAAGGAACGCCATCCTGAAGAAGCAGCATGTCGCTTTGAAAGCAATGCTGATATCCCACACGCCAGCTTCCGATGACACTGGTCTCGGTGGCAATTTTGCCCCCCCAAAAAAAAAAAAATGCTGCTGGTGAGTGGGGACATACGAAGATTGAAGGTCCAAAACCAAATGGCCTTAAACAGTTCTTGCAAAGGGGATTGGCTTGGCAACAGAAAGTGGACACCAAACAACCAATGTTTCACAACCATGCCCCATGTGGCATGTTCATATCGAATAAAGATAACCCGTCGGATTTCGTGAGGATGACCGAACCAAGCAACGGGATCCGTCCCTATGGATAACTTCGCCACAAAAGGTGAGTAATTTGTCATGATTCGCCAACTTGGAGGGTCTTCTATGAAAGGAACCCGCCTCATGAGTTTGTGGTTGCAAACCTTACCCTTCCCTGGTGAACTTTACATGCATGAGCCTTATCATCCCAAAGTCCACATTTGCTTGTTGGGCAAGAAAGAAACTCAGCGGGTCCAAATTGACGTGCGAACTCTTCTCCTGCGATTGGATGGTTATCGGGAGGTGAAAGCGACCTGACTTAGCTGGTTGCGGGCGCCTGACCCCTCTGCAAAAAAAAGCCGAACATCCGCCCTCCTCAAGATTGAAATTCACAATGACAATTCAGCAAATGAAGGCATGGTTGCCATAATGGTAGACCATACCGGGGGCTTGAAAGTTTGTCTCGTGGTTTGCGAGCAGCCCCGGGCTCGAATCCTGCTTGGTCTCCGCAGCTTCTAAATTAGAAAGTCAGCAGCGCAAAGCTTTCACAGCTCCGGCTGAAAATTGCAACTTTCAAACACGAAAGTAGCACGCCAAGTACAATTTCGCAGCTTCGACTGGAAAATCGCAACTAGTACGAACGTATTACGCGGAGTACACTTTCAGAAAGGCTCCGAAAGTACTGCACGACGTACACTTTCAGAAGGCTTCGGCTGGCCCAAAGTATACTTTCGCAGGTCCGGATCGACAGTTGGAACCACGTTAAAAGGTTGCTGTGTTGTGGCCAGCGCGACTACAAACATCTGCAGCTGCAATTTGCCCATGAAAAGGGAAGCAAACATACATGAAACCAAGACTTAACTTGCCTTGTGCTTTCGGGCCACCCGTGGAGTCATTTCAGTTGAGCCAAACCAAGATGAAGCCCCCAAACTCCACCCCTAACAATTATCACGTTGAATTGGCCAGAGGAAAAAATATCGGCAAAAAAAAAGAGCAAAGACCGCATGATTGGGCTCCTCTCCTAAAAGAGAATACATTCTAGGGGGTTAGATGTGATTTTCAACCACACTGACCCAAACACACCTACTGAGACCCAAAGCCATGACGCGACGCTTGCGCGATTTGACGCGCCTCTTCCTTCGAGCAGAAATGGCAGAACTTGCAGGCAGCGCCCAATCGACAGCCATCGGTGTGAAGCTGAAAGAATCCTCGGTGGAACTCAGCCCGTAACTTCCTCCCTCCCTCGCTCTCCCTCTCTCTCTCTCTCTCTTGCTGGTTCGTTTGGTTGGCTTCTTTGGCTGCCTGGTTGGTCGCTTGTCAACCTCACTAACTCTACTCTGTGTCTCTTTCCCTTTCTCTGCCTCTCCCTTTCTCTCTCGCGTTGTCTCTCGTTCTCTCTGGTTGCTTTGTGCTTGTTTGCGTGGCGCTCTCTCTCTCTCGCTCGTTCTCATTGGTTCGCCTGGCGCTCTCCCTCTCTCTCTCGCTCTTTCTCAATCTCTGGCTCTTGTTCAAACATTCAATCAAAGCCTGCATCCGGAGGGCGGCAGGCTCTGCAGGTGCCCTGCTCGTGGGCCGCCTTTGTGTTGAAGGCCCGGCTCTCTTGCGAAGAGCTGGAGGACGAGTCCAGCCCCGGCACACCCTCGAAGGGGAAGTCGGACGAGGAGGCCTCAAAGAAGCCAGCATCCCCAAAAAACACCCCGGAGAAGGCGGAAAGGGAAAGAAACCGCACAAAAGAAACAAAAGTAAAAAAACACTGGAGGAAAAGCGGCAAAAGAAGCAAAATTAAAGGAAATGGAGCAAAAACCTTTGACAGTAAATCAAAAGGGAAGCAAAATGCAAGAGCCGCCAGAAGGAAAGGAAAGAGAAAAGTTTAGGGCTGGGTAGCGCCACATGCAAGACGCGTGGCATCGCCGATGGCAATGCAAACCCTTTCAGCAGCCCTCGGTTTCTTTCCAAACAGAGAGCAAGTAAAAAGTCTTGCAAACAAACATGCATAGAGAGAGAGAGAGAGGGAGGGAGGGAGGGAGGGAGGGAGGGAGGGAGGGAGGGAGGGAGCAAGGGAGAGAGAGAGAAAGAGAGAGAGAGAGAGAGAAAGAGAGAGAAAGAGAGAGAGAGAGAGAGAGAGAGAGAGAGAGCGTGCGTGGCAGTGGGTTTTTTTTGCTGAGCCCAGGCGCACTGAAGGTGCCGGAGCCCGCCGTGCAGGTTGTCTCCTGACAAATTGGGTTGCGTCGCTTCAACGGAGAAGCCATATGAGACAAAATCATCACCGACACGTGCAAAAATGGACCCAGAACCACGCTTCAAGAAATGAAAAGGCGGAGATGCGCAACCATTTATGGCTACAAGATTGTCACTTACCCTCCAGTTACTCGGGTTTTGATTGTGACGCATATGTTAAGGGCCCACATTGCGTCCAGCACGCAACAACATGTGGCTCCAAAAGGGTTTCTGGGGCGAAGGTCATAAGACTCGCCATTTGTTGGTCGGCGTGGCAATGGTCGCCGATCAAACGACACGTCAGGCAAGTGCTACCTCGCTTCCTTATCCCAAAGTGACCAAAGTCACCCAGGGAGTGAGACAAGGGCAAAAATTGCGCCTTACATTGAAAGCTGTTGATTTTTGCAAGGCAAAAGGAGGACAACGTGAGCGCAACACGGCAAAGGGAACTTTCTCGGACTGTCTGAAGTTGCTCAGTCCGACCCCCCCCCAATGTCGCGCCAGTCCGCCAGGAAGGCCCAGCACTGGGAAGCGGTCAGATCCCTTCAAGAAAGGGATCACAAACCAGCACCTCCCCTCAAAGCCGATCCAAGTCCGGTCAAATCCATATAGAAACCGGCCACATCGTCAAGCTTCCAGAAACCGGCAAACGTCCCCCACTTTGGGAACCAACTCACACATTTCGGCGGACGAATAAACACAAGGCTTCAAGGCTAACTAAAGCACGGTGTATGCCTCAAAGCCAAGCGCGGTCTGGCCGAGTCGGGCTTGGACCCCTTAAAAACGTCCGCACTTCCAAAATGGCCACCAAACCGACCATGGGGTTTCAGGTCCACTTCGCCCATCCCTCCCGTTGCGTCATCGTCAAGTCGTGGAGTCCTGGCGCTCTCCGCGAGACACCGCCGACGCGGTGCTCCTCGGCTTGCCGAGGCGCAAAGTTACCCAAGGCCATTTTGGAGCCAGGAACATTGATCAACCCCCTAATTGATAGGAAAGCTGGAACTGCTGGAAACACAAAGGTGAGTTGCAGTGAAGACCAGTTGGAATCCACGGGCAGACGCGGAGTTTTGATCGGAGATGCCTTTGGTCTTTTGGGCTCCTTCTTGAGGACCTTGGTTTGCTGGAGGTTGGACGCTTCATCCGGCAGACATCTGCGTTTTGGCTGTGTCAATGGTCAAACACGTTCTTTCCTGCTTTCGGG